AATGTTTATTGCTTGTATTTACCAAAAAATGAAAGTGAACCTTCCAGTGACTTTGCTTTCTCCCCAGCCAAGCATCATCCAGTGAGAGGACGGAGCACGCTGAGCTGCTCAGCATGCAGAAGGAGCTCTGCATGGCTTACTGGTAGCGCAATGATCCAGTGAAGCGGTGACAACTTCTTAAGGAACAATCGAGGCTAACAGTCTTCAAAATTACAACAGGGTGTTCCAAAACATTATGTTTAAACTCACTGAACGCAGCTGTTCTCCTCCAGTGCAAAACTACCAGCGGGTAAAGTGGTACTGCAGAAGACATCAATGTTCTCTGAACCTCATGTCTCGCTGGACTAATCTTCTTCATCTAATTTTGATGAAGGCGTCCCCATATATTTGCTTGCTTTAAACATGATTTGAGAAAATAATTTTTTAAACATGGATCCCGGCTTAGTCTATAGGGATCAACAGAACTTCAGCCTCACAGGGAATATGTAAAGAAGTAACTGGCTCCCACAAGACTTCTATGGTAGCAAGAGCCGTTTGACTTATTTTTCTGCAGCCAAACTACATACATATAAAACTTTAATACCCTTGAAATCTCATGGGGCTTAAATAATCTTGCTGGTGATAGATACTTAGCTAGGAGGAGGATGGTAAAACAAGCTATGAAGTTTTGTTTTTTTTTCTTCACTGAATATGTTTTACTAGAAAAAGGATTCCCAAAAGCTTTCCTCCACTGAGATTTGAAAGCATTTGAGCCTTGTATTTGCCATTTCTCCAAATTAAGAATGCTCATATATCTAAGACCAGGTAAAGGTGAATTTCTTCTACTGCTTCTTTTATTTTGCCTTCATTTTATCAAGTATATTGTCCACTTCTTCACAAAGCAGGAAAAATTATTTCCTTTAGAGTTGTGTCCCCCTATTCAAGAAATATGAAGAAAAATGCCCTTCTGTTTCGCTAGCCAGGTGATGCAGGCAGTCAAACAAAAATCATGGAGGGCACTTTATGGACTGAGGACACATCCTAATAAATGCTACTTCTAGATATAGACAAGATGGCAAGGAGAGAAGTTTAAATAGAATATTGGGGTTTTTTTCAGAACGTTTTGAAGGTAATGGTATTTAAGGCTAGATAGTTTTCTTAAAGAGGCACCAGTGAAGATCTCACTGCCATTTGGCTTCCTGAACATTTTGTAGGTGTATGCCCATGCCTCTCAGTGTTGCATTCAGCCAACATTTTGGTGATTGGTCTTGAAAGCAAGCATACTGATGGAGTACACTACTTCTCAGGCACTTTGGTTCTTCCACTGAAAAAGGCAGCTTTAAAGGAAATATCAAATGTTCTGAAATTACAGAAGAACATTTCCAGAGCTAAAAACCCCTCTGTTTACGTAGCCTTTTGCCAACAGGAGACTAACTAGCACTGCATGGTAAACAGACCACCTGTTACACAATCCGTCCAGGGGCACAGCCCATGTCACCGACTGTAAATACGTGACTGTCAGAAGATAATTACAGATACTGAGGTCTTTCTCCTTTTTCTCTTTGGGGGTGATGATGTTGAGGGAAGCAGCCAAGAGCAAAGGAGGTTGTCAGACATAGGGCTGCAAGTGTTACAGCTCCCCTAGTCTGGGAATAACTTTTAGACCCAACCATGATAGGGTGTGTAATGCAACTTCAGCAAAGAGGGTGACTAAAGGCACCCTGAAAGGGCTCCGTACCCCTTCCCACCAGGGGGAGCGCTGACTGACTTGCTATGTTCCTCAGACTCCAACAAAATAAAGGCAGGTTAAGCTTTAGTTAGGAATGAGCAATTAGCAGTTCCTGGAGATCATTATAGTTTTACATTTATAATGGCAATTTTATTTTTCCACTTTTTAGAAGCAAAATATTACCCTGCATCTCTAGTATTCTGCCATTTACAAAGCAGGATGATATACGCAGATGATTTATACAGGGTATACACTTTCACTGCAGCTTCTTTCCAGCCTGTGAGATGTTGTGTTTGTTACGAAGCGTATGGAGGCTGCCACTCCGGCTGTGTACCCTGCTGCCTGGAGCAAGTGTGCTCACCCACCTGCTTTCTTGCAGCTCCACAGGAGAAAGATGAATTGTGAAAAGGACAATGGCATGCTCCATGTAAGTACAGGATGAGAAACATTTTATCTACAACCCTGTCATATTGGGGCTACCCTAACCAAAAATAAGCTTGAAAGTAATCCCCTGATTCGTTTCTCTGGATTCTCCAGTTCCTTGAAACACAGTGCATAAACCAGAGGTTCATATTTTGCATTTAGACACTCAGAGCAGCATGGAGAAATGGTGAAGGTCAGTTGCGCTATGGACAACTCCACATCCATCTGCATCTTTAAATTATACTCTTGTCTCTTCCTTATTGCCAGTTATGGTCTGTCTCTGTTTTTCTCATACAGGTCCGGACTGACAAAGGGCCAGACAGAATCATTGTGTTGACTTTGCTGAGACGACTTCTGACACCTGTAATTGTAGCATTTAATCCCAGCTAGGGAGCACAACACTGAGGCCTGACACAAATGCCCAAGTATGACAAGAGCACTTAGTGCAAGAACTATGGTACCGAGAGCTTTGCAGGCAACGTTAGAAACTTCTGTTCTGATGTCTCAAAGGGACCAAACAATCAGGGATCCGGTTTCCAAATGTACAGTTCTTTCACACCACCCTTGAAATACATTATATTTCTGCGCACGTCACAGTACCTCACAAGTCCTTGCTACTAAAAAAAAATATAAATAATCAGATGGCAAATAATCAAATTCTTAGTATGTTTTCTCAAGCTGATGCCAAACATACACATTAACCACAATGGCCAATTCTCGCTGCTTTACCACAAGCCTGATGTAGAGTTACACAATCCTGCACAGCTGGAAAAACATCATTATGTCAGGTGAGCACCTTTTCGTTCCCAGAAAGTTTCTAGTCCTGACAGTTTCACCTCTGCAAACAAAGCTCTAAAACAAAAGTAAACCTAACAGCTGGCCTATATTTGCTGTAACTATACCGTTTACTATATATAAATGTTTTTTACACCTCGCTTTAGGAAGTACTCCTTTCTCCAGCAGTGAAGCTCACTGAAAACAAGCCACAGCTGGATTAATAAGAAAGCAAAGCTGGGACACAGCATTACAGGAAAAAAAAACCCCAAAACCTAGCCTGTCAGCTCTGCTGTTGATGTGGAGGTTTACAATGACTTTCAGGCAGCTTGATATGGTAGAAACTCATAAAGGGCAGGCAAAAATAGTATTACATTTTCTAGTATTTTTATATAGTCTTACTTTGTAAAAGGTGAAGAACGATTACGTTTTTATCAAGGTACAGTATGGCCTTAAGGCTAGTAATCTTAGTATTAGATGATAAACTCATATAGCTTGCAGTATTTCTGATGCGCTCTGACAAACCTGCTCCGCCTTGCGTTTGTGACAAAACTCTACCAGAGGTGGTTTTCAGTAACCGCAATGGTACAGCACATGCTTACAGCAACTGGACGTAAGCAGGTAAATGTGGTATGTAATGCTATCAGTCAGTACTGCAGCAGGCTGCAATGAAACAATGAGGGTCTCAGATATTTTCCTTTTATTAACTGGGCTGTAAATCAATTAGGTCAGTTTGAATATTTTTTCTGAAACAAAAGTTTTGGCAAGTGTAATGCTAAGAATTAGGAAGAATCATAAGCACAAGTCAAAAGCTGTTATTGAAGTTGTGGATGCCCCATCCCTGGAGGTGTTCAAGGCCAAGTTGGATGGGGCTTTGAATAACCTAGTCTAGTGGAAGGTGTCCTGCCATGGCAGGGAGGCTGGAAACAGACGATCTTTGGTGGCTGCTCTGCTGTAACGTGTGGTCACTCTGCTCACGCAATGGGATGAATGCACAAATTCCTCCTCATTGAATACTTTCAAACAATATGAGCATCTGACTGAAGTCAAGGTTGTAGGGCTTAATACAAAGCAAAGGTTTCCAGGTTTAATAAAGTATTAGGTTTAGTTGTTATGATTATGCAAATGAGATTACTGGAAAACAGATAGGTAAACAGAAAAAACTGCATTAGCTGGTGTTTAAGAAAGTGGTTAAATGTAAGAAGCTAAAACTTGAAATTTTTTGGTTGGTGCTGCTTGACAAATGGGCATGACTGACTCATTACTAATAGACAGGCTTATTCCTGCTATCTGCCATGTCACACTAAGGAAGAAACCCAGGTGAGAAATTTGGTCATGAGTTGAGCTTTTCAGTTTGGGTAAACCTATATGAACCCGATTCCCAGAAGATTTATATTAGTTAAGTTAATGGAAAAACTGTGGGCAGCGCTGAGCAACTACACCACTATCATTAGCTGGCGGAGCAGCATGGCAAACATTGGAAGGAACAGACACTACTGCTGTTCTGTGTGCTGTTCATCTACTTAGAAGATACCAATATCGAAGTCTTTATCTTCAGTCATTTGCCAGTGATGTGTGTCTCCACAATCCATATTCTTAGTCCTTGGGCTAGATCCCCTTTGCATAACTAACACACATTCTTATTTTACCTTCTTATCTACACAATGGCATTCAGAATGAAAGCAGTGAGTTTGTCTACACTTAAAATATCACTTTCTTTATTGCAGTGCTAGTAGGAAATCCAAGCAAAGGAAGACAAAAAGCTCCCCATCCAAACCTGAAATCTTGGAAGACTCAGTTTTTGGGTGTGTGGAAGTATTATCCCACAATAAACTGTTTATTACGAGCCATTATTTTCCTATGTCAACAAAAGTATTCGCCTAAGTGATGGCTCTACTATTTTTCACTGGCTTCACTTCAAATCCTGTATCTGTTATTACAAAAGACCTTAATGGAGGCCCTGAGAGGCTATGTCCTGTAACATAGCCCCAAAGCTGCAAGATACAATGAAGAACACCGAGCAATTCATGTGTAGCCGGGCTACACCAGTATCATCCAGTACTCAACAAGATGAGGTAGGAACTTTGATCACTGGCTATCTGTTGTCTTCTATGACAATGGTTCTTCTAGGATAGGTGTCAACGTCCACAAATATGTAGCGGACCTCAAATCTTCCTGTCTCAGGATTCTGTAAGGGAAACAATTTCAGTCTCTGTTTTATTTTCTTCGGTAGTTTAAATTCAAGATGAAGCTTATCAGCTATATCAAGCAGTTGTACATACCTCTCTGACTTCCACATGGACTGTTCCCCGCTTCCCTGATTCAGAGCCTTCAATATAGAACTTCAAACGCATATGTTTCAGTCCATCCTTTACGTATTCAACGTGACTAAAAACAGCAAAACAAAACAAAACAAAATACCAACCCACCCAGCAAGGATACAAATTATATGCTAGTTAAACTTTAAATTTAAACTTCTTATTTAGAGAAGCTGCTTAACTATTTTGTGAGAAAGTGTATTCTGATGCAGTCCTTATGCTACCACAGGTTCCTTCTCTACTGTTCTTCCCAAGCTTTACTGTGAGCATATAAGAACTAACGGAGTTAGAAGAACTAATTAGCAGTTGAGGATTAACAGATGAAGTGCTTAAACGTCTTCATGCCAGCCCTCCCCTCAAAACTCAACAGCAATCCAATGGCTGAAGATTCTGGAATTTCCTTGTATTTATTGTAAAGAACCCCACATTCACAGCCTGACATCTAGAACAGAACAACCACATCACAAAGACTGCAATGGATTTTCTTAGACAAACTAAGTTACAAAGCCAAAACACACAGAGAATATTTTGTCAACTTAATTATTGGGTTGGTTAAATCACCTCAATACAGTTTAATATATATGCTTTACTTATTTTGGCAATAATTTTGTTCTACTGAAGTTGTGTAATGTTGGCACTGATATCATATCTCCAACCTAAATGCTGATATTTAGACTGGAGTTAGGTTATGCTCAACTATTTCATAAATAGAAAGGTGACGTCACTTTCAAGGCGACCACTTCTAGAAACTAACAGTCAAACTAGAGTTCTGGTGCCAGTTTATGTTTCCTACTGAAATTACTAACTGCTGCGTACTACCAAGCTCTTATTTCTGTCAGTCATGCCCAGATACACACTGTGAATTAAACTTCCAATGCAGTTTAAGGTGACATGATGGGTTACAGAGGACAAAGATGAATGAAGAGCCTTACTGCAGTAAATTCACATTCAAAGTGTTCATATACAAAAAAATCTGTATATTTGTGAGACATTTAATGTCATCCTTATACTGCAGACATAAATGCTATAATCTTACAGAGTCCTCAGATCAAAATTTTGTTTAAAATACTAGGCTTTCACAATAATGCAAATGAAATATCAGGAAAGCTGATAGCACATTCACTTATTTACCTAGTTTGTTTTACAGACAGATGCTTAGAACATTTATGCATACCCTTTTCATTTAGCAGCTCAAATTTAAACACTTTTTCACAGAATCTGGTCAAAAGATAAACTTCCACCAATAAAAATCACCTTCCTCCAGAAAAGAAAATAATCTCAATTTCATGGTTCAAGTTGTGTTTCTGGGCTTATGTGTCCCATCCTCTGTGAAACCTCCTTGAATAAATTCAAGTCAAAGAACCCAATAAAGACAAAGCCCCCATTGGGTTATAGTGCAGGGAGGATTCACATTCTGTAATAACTAGTTCTGTTGTTTCCCTCAAAAGGAGAATAAATAGACATGCTCATGAAAGGTTTAGGTGAGAGATCTTCTGTTAAATACACAGTAGAGATGTGGCCTCAAGTACCAAAAAGTGATATAAGAAATGGGCAGTCAATACTGCATACCAGCTCAGGACAATATAGTTGCTGCAGTGACTACAACCTGTACAGTCAGACCTCACCTAGCTTTAAACAGAGCAAGCTGGATTCTTGAAAGTGCAAAAGTTAGTACCTCCTGCTCTTACTGGCCTGGTAAGGACTACTGCTTTGAAAGGAGAAAAACTCGCAAAAACCAATTTTTCAGAGAACAATTTCACTCTATTTGCAGGTTTCAGACTATACGCTTCAGTCAGATCCCTGCTCCACAGATGCATACCTGGGCCTCCAATACTACTGTCTTTAGACTCATCAAATTTTTTGGAGAGACCAGCTCTACATTTACCATGACCATTGCTTGTTTTAAGGCACTCAGAACTGGCGCTTTATGTTATATGCGCACTGTATTTAGCAGTATGTGTCACACAAGAGGTATTGCAAAAAACTTTTTTCATTTTCACTCAAAAGTGACAAGGGACATCACATACAGTTCACTAATCTAGATGTAACTTGCTTTGATGTGATGCAAAATGTCTTTGCTCTGCAAAAACTAGTGTCTGTATGGAGCAAACACCAAAGAGCACCTGACAAACTGTCGTCTTCCTCTTCTTGTTGCCTCCCCGTAACCTTTAATAGATTCACCAAAAACACCAATTATCTACAAGAGAGAAGAGGTTTGAGTTGTCAGAAGGTATCACGTTCAGACAGATATTCCAGTATCACCTCACACCCCTGCTGTGAATGCATTTTCTTTCAACAAAATGCCCCTTGTAAGTCTGATGTCAAGAAGAGAAGAGTTTAGGAAAGAAAACAGTGTAAGGAAAATTCCTCTGTATTTCAGTGCTTTTCTTTACAGTCACATATTAAATGTCTAAAATAAATCCTACTAATATCTTCCATTTGTGCCATCCTCTGAGATTATGACATTTTAATCTCTCTTTTATTTTATACTTTACTGACATTTTGTGTAAAAAGGAAAAAAAGCATGAAATATTTGCTCATGTCTCATCCAAGAGAATGTTTCAAAGTTTAAAATGCAAATGCACTCCCCTTCACATTATCTAAAAAACCACTACCATTTAAGAAATTCAATTTTTCTTTTTTCCAGATCTATAAAGCCAGACCAAATTAACCTAGTTTTAAACTGTATAAGTATTGGAGAGAAGTTTTAATTCTACAAACTTGTTCCAAAGCAGTCATTTTTATTCTAGTGACAACTTGTCACTTAATTTCTAGGTTATGCTCTGTTGCATCTGTGGAAACCTTGTTTGAAAGCTATTCCATGCATTTCTTGTTTTGCCTGAAGTAGTGGATTTTAGAATCTAGTTTTAGATTGATTGTTGTTTGCATCTAGCTATCTTATGTGATTGTGTGATCACGTGACTGTCCTCTTTCTCTTTTCCTGTTAGCCACAGGGATGCTAACTGTGTTTCAAAAGAAGAGTTTAAAGTCCTGGATACTTATGCAGTGCTTCGCGGCATGACAGAACCCTGCTAAAGTGTCACAACAGAGTAACTGTGCTGAGGAAAGGCAGCAGACTAGATCTACAAAACTTAAGTGGGACCAGCTGCCTCCCTGAACTGCAGAACTCCTTAAGCACTACATTTAGTAGGTGCTCAAGTACGTCTGTAAGACTTTCTGTACAGAGACACAAGCACCTGCTCTGAAAGGGCAGACACTGTATCTGCATCAGTTGTTGTGCTGCGGTACGCTCACTTAACTTGGCTTTTCGCAGGCTAATTTACTCAGGCGTAGTGCTTGCATTACCTTGACAATATATAGGCTCCAAATTGGAGCTGACCCACCTCTGGCCAGCTAAAAGCAGATGCAGATCTGCTGGTGTTTGCCAGCTAAGCACCACGAGTCTTCCTGTGGCCTTACTTGTGAGATTCCTTGTGCAAACTTTTGACTCAAAGAGAGACAGTAACTACCGAGAAACAGAAACTCATGACTAAGGTTCAAAAACCAACCTCAGGGTGAGATCTGCATTTCTCCAAGGCATTTCCATAGATCTTACTTGGACTAGAAGAAGAGAATAGCTCTTTAAAAATCACATAGAACAAACCACCTGTAACAGAAACAACAGCAAATGGAATGACAACTAATCAAACCAGATGGAATTAATGAAAAGCATCTTCTTATAAAGAATATAATTTTAAAAAATAACCTGTAACACCAATTCCAACAAGCACCACAATAAAGTAGGTAAAGTCTCTTCCAGCTTCTTTCACTGAAATAGAAAACAATGCAGGAGTTACAACCTCAGAGAGTATGAGTTCCATAGCTTTCTTATATAAATGCTCTTGTATTAGTCTACAGCTGAAATAACATTTTGGCAGAAGAAAAAATTCCAGTAACAGCTTCCGTAATGCCTCATCACTAAAAGAAAGAGACCATGGAATGTCTCTTACTTGGTGCAGGGCACACTAAGCCTCATTACTTTCTATTTTCCTACTAGTTGTTTTCAAGACCCAGAAGAGCACTTATTATTACTTTTCATGTAGCACAAAAGCTAGTTTCTTTAAGAACTAACGAGATATTTAGCACTGCAGCATTCAAGCTACCGTATGAACTCACAATCATTGCAATCCTTACGCAAAGGAAGGGAGAAGTAAAAATAAAAAAGTGTAAGCTTATAAATTGCACATACGGAAAATGACTGGTTTTAAGAATTCTCAATCAATCAAGTGAACAATAAAAAGGAGGGAAATTAGACAAAATACTTACTTGATTTATTGAGACCATCAACTGCAGTTTATCTGATTAGTTTTTATCTATTAGCTTTGATCTAATGTACTAGTAAAAGTGTCAGCACATAGTCAAAAAAAGTCATATGAGATTCTCTGTTTCAAAACATTTTTGAGTACTTGCAAAGAGACTACTGATTTGTTTGAGTGATAAGGTGTGCCTTTCAGTGAAGTTACCAAGGAAACTTTAATAACCATTTTTCCTGCAGCCTTCTAATCAGTTGAGGATTTTTGTCATAAACCTTTCCAAAGCACTCAGAATTTCTGAGGCTAATTACTTTCCACTGAAGTTAATGAGACCAACCAAAGTGACGGCCATCCTATAAAGAAACAAGTACCAAATGTAGAGCTTTGACAATTTTGCTGGAAGCAAACTTGTTTTAACAGCATCCAGACAGGTCATGTATTCCTTTTGAAAATGGAAATGAGAGGCTACATCTTAGTCCCGACGTGACCTAAACACTAAATCAACAAGCTGTTTGGAAGAAGCCACATAATTCCTGTTCTGCTTGTGCAATACACACACTGAAATTTATCAACTGCTGCAAACAATACAATGTGAAAAGGAAAGGGCTTGCTGGTTTACTGAGAAACAGTTGTTGGGCGGGTTGGTTTTTTTTTTTCCCAAGCCAGAGTTTTGGGGCTCTAAAATCTCAGCTGCAGCACTACTTTTCTCCGTGCCAGCCCCTTCGAGCCAGCTCTTTGACCACTCACGAGTGACCACAGCCCGCCTTACCTTTCTGAGCAGCCGACAGCAGCGTTTCTTCTTTCCGACCCCTTTGCACGGCCACATGTTTGCTATTATCGCCAGCTTTTTCAGCTTTCAGCCCACCCCCGCTTTGCGTCCCGATACTCTGCCGGGCGGCCCGCAGCGGCGGGGCGGGATGGTGCCGCCACCTCAGGCACAGCCCCGTCCCCGTCCCCGTCCCCAGCAGCGCCCAGCCGGGGGGAAGCAGCAGCCACCTCCCCAGGGAGGCCCACAGCCGCCCGCCGCCCTGTCCCGCCCGCCCGCGGGAGGCGGGCAGC